TCCAGGTAGATGACATCAACTGCTCTACCCCTGTCCATCAGTTCTGTAGCCCCATCATAGAAGGCCACCAAATTGGTCAGGCAGGATTTCCCCTTAGTGAAGCCATGCTGGCTGTCACCAAGCACCTTGTTGATTTTCATGTGCCTTAGCATGCCATCCAGGAGAATCTGCTCCAAGATTTTGCCAGGCACAGAGGTGAGACTGACTGATCTGTAATTCCTTGGGTCATCCATTTTCCCCTTCTTGAAAATGGGGGTTATATTTCTCTTTTTCCAGTCATAGGGAACTTCACCTGACTGCCATGATTTTTCAAATATGATGGCCAGTGGCTTAGCAACTTCAGCTCCTTCAGGACCTGCAGATGGATTTAATCAGAACCATGGACTTGTGCATGTTCATGTTCTTAAGATGGTTTTGAACCAGATCCTCTTCTGCAGTGGGCCCAAGGTCTTCATTCTCACAGTCCCTGTATCTGCCTTGCAAGACTAGGGTGGTGTGGTCAGAGCCTTTGCCAGTGAAGACTGAGGCAAAGAAGTCATTAAGAACCTCAGCCTTCTCCAAATCCAGGGTAGCCAGTTCTCCTGACAGCTTCCGGAGAGGGCCTGCATTGTCCCTAGTCTGTCTTTTATTTGCAATGTAACTATAGAGTCCCTTCCTGTTTTCTTTAACATCCCTAGCCAAGTTTAATTCTAACTGGGCCTTAGCTTTCCTAACCTGGTCCCTAGCTTCCCGGACAACATCCCTGTACTCTTCCCAGGCCGCCTGTCCTTGCTTCCACTTTTTATAAGCCTGTTTTTTTCGTTTGAATTTTCCTCAGCAGCTCCTTATCCATCCAAGGAGGTCTCCTGGCCCTCCTGCTGCACTTCCTTCTAGTTGGTATACAACATTCCTGAGCTTGTAGCAGGTGAACCTTGAATATAAACCAAGAGTCTTGGGCCCCCCTGCCCTCTAGGGCTATATCCCATGGAACCTTACTAAGCAGGTTCCTGAAGAGGCCAAAGTCTGCTCTTTTGAAGTCCAGGGCAGTGAGCTTGCTGCACATTCTTCTCACTGTCCTGACAGTCATGACCATCTCGTGATCGTTGCATCCAAGGCTGCCCTGGTGCGTTGCATTTCTGACTAACCCTTACCTGTTGGTGAGCACGAGGTCAAGCATGGAACCTCTCCTTGCCGGCTCCTCTATTACTTGCAGAAGGAAGTTGTCTTCCAGACAATCAAGGAACCTCATGCATTGCTTGTGCTGGGCCATACCATTGCTTCAACAGATGTCAGGGTGGTTGAAGTCCCCCATGAGAACAAGGGCCTGCGAGCGTGAGGCTGTTCCTATCTGTCTATGGAGTGCTTCATCCACAGGTTCCTCTTGATCAGGCGGTCTGTAACAGATCCCCACAGTAATGTCTCCCGTCACTGTTTTCCCTTTAACCCTGACCCACAAACTCTCTGTTGACTGCTCACCTGTCCCCAGACAGAGTTCCATACTCTCCAGCCTATCCCTAACATAAAGGGCAACTCCCCCTCCCTGTGTGCCAGGCCTGCCTTTTCTAAAGAACCTGTAACCTTCCATTCCAACACTCCAGTCATAGGAGCCATCCCACCATGTTTCTGTAATACCAATGATATCATATCCCCGTAGACGTGCACACATCTCTAATTCCCCTTGTTTGTTCCCCATGCTACAGGCGTTTGTATAGAGGCAAACTTGTCTTGAAAGAAGCTTCAAACTATGATCAGTGAGGATCTTATGCCTTGTACAGCACTCATTTCTTCCTACTGGCTCCTGTTAAATGTAATCAAAAAGAGCTTGACAAGGAAGTGTCACAGCCATGGACTATTGCATAGGAGGTATTAGCTGCTCCGCTCCAGCATCATCAGTAGCACTGGTCTATTAAAATGAAAATAAATCGAACCACTTGAGGCTTGCTGTGGCAGCTTTCAGTCTGTTTTCCTCCATTTTATCAACTGGCACTGGCTAGCAGCTGCAGAGAAAATATTTCACCAGCAATCTGACAATTGATGTTGTCAGCCCTCAACCAGGCTACTGGAGGATGCCCTGCGGAGAGGCAGAGACTCTGGTGGCCAAGAGGGATGGTGTAATCTAGTTCACATTAAGTACATTTCGAGTTCCCTGAGGAAAGGGGCAGTAAACATGCCAGATCAGTCTAAAATCACTCTTAATGTGAAATGAGGCTAGAAGTCTATAAACAGACAGGCTGCTTTTGTGAATCAATTGATTTACAAAACTGGAGAGGGGCGCCTAAATCAATCTAGGGACAAATGGGCTGGAAACACAATATCTCAATACATACCTGGTCTTTTGATGCAATTTCAGATCTTTGTTTGTTTGTTTGTTTTGTTAGAAGAAGCTGGTGGAGCTGAGCTTTGAGGGGGGTGGACAAAACCATCTCAAATGCCATGGTGGGTGTCTGATTCTTAAACAAGTTGCATTCTCGCAGCATTGTCTTTTCAGATAATTATTAGTGTTATCTGGAGGATGTGTGGGTGTTGTACCACCGCTCTGCAGCAATATTCTGTTCTTGGTCTGGTTCAGATGGGAGGTGGAGGTCTTGTGGTTTATTCAATACAAAAAATATGATTCTGTGCAGAAAGAACTTGCTCTTATCATTTAACCAGAGTTAGAACAGGGTTCTGCTCATAGAATCATAGAATCTGAATAGTTTGGGTTAGAAGGAACCTCCAAAGGTCATCCAGTCCAACCCCCTGCAATAAGGAGAGACATCCTCAACTAGATCAGGGTGCCCAGAACCACATTCAGCCTGGCCTTGAATGTCTCCAAGAATGGCGCATCCAACACCTCATTATAAAAATGATTTCCTCACATCCAGCCTGAATCTCCTTCTTTTAGTTTAAAATCATTAACCTTCATCCTATCACAACAAGCCTTGCTAAAATGTCTCTCCCCATCTTTCTTATAGCCCAATTGTAAGATCTGAAAGGCTGCAATAAGGTCTCCCCAGAGCCTTCTCATTTTCCAGGCTGAAGAACTCCAGTTCTCTCTGCCTTTCCTCATAGGAGAGGTGCTCCATCCTTCTGATCATTTTCTTTACTCTTGGGAAATACAGAATAATTTCTGAAAACCATCAATCAGTGTTCTGTGACTTCACAGAAATATTTCAGCTAGAAAACTGCCAGCCCTCTGATGAGATCTCAGGTAAAAGGAAATACTAATAAATCTGGGGCTATATTTAATAGGAATGAAGAAGGCCACACTGCAAACAGTGCCTCTGTGTGCAAATGGTGCTGCTAAGCTATTCATCCAGCTGTGGGGTGCTTGGCAGTAGTTTTGCTGGGATATTGCTGGTGAGGTACTCTGCAGTCACAGAGGACTGTTGGTCAGGCACCAGAGCTCATGCTGGCTGGCTGGAGCAGTGGGGCATGACTTGCCTTCTCCGCTTGCCATTGCCTATGAATCTGTGTGCAGTGCAAGGTGGGTGTGCAGGAGGTCATGCCGAGGAACAGGGTGAGACTGTAAGACCCTCACTGTGTTCTCTGATTGCTAGGTTTGGTGACCCATGAATGGCTGCCCAGGCTATTTCATTCCTGCACATAGATTTAGTTGTCTTGTTTCAGCAAAAGACACCAGTGGGCACTCCTGAAGATGGCTGCCTTGCAAAGCTTGTGCAATGCTGCCTCTGCCAGCAGTGTTTAAAGATGAAAGTGTGCAATACCCATCCTCTTTTGTCTTTTAGAAGCAGCCAAAAGATTTTTTTGGCACATACAGCTATCGGCAGCAAACAAATCAACTGGATGATAAAAGCAAGGCAGCAACTACAGCTTTAGCTTTTATTTCCTGCCTTACTTAGAAAGATGAAATATTTGATCTTTGAGGTTATTGATGTGTGACTGCTTGCCCATTCCTGGTTTTGCTTCTCTCTGCAAATCCCTTTAACTAACTTTCTGGAGTAATTTTCCATTCCCATTTATTTTCTTTCCTAGACACATTGCACAGTTTAATGTCCTCAGCTGTTGCCAGGGAAACTGAATTTTGAACCTGGCTTGTCAAGCAAATGAAGGAGCAATTATTTTTGAAGTATTTCTATAAACTTGGATCAAAGATGATCACATAATTTTTAAGGTAGTGTTGGTAACATTTTTTTTGTAGATTTCTCAACACCTCCAGTGGCAACCGCCTGTATTGTAGCTCCTGCTGTTCAGCATGATGCTTCCTTTGGGAGCCTTATTTGGAAAGTGCTAGCAAACCTGGCCCAGCTGTTCCAAGCAGAGAAAGCACAGAAGATTTTAGTTGTGTTAAATTAATTCTTACATCTCTCTCCTCTGTGTTCAGAGCTGCTGCTATGGTGCAGCAAGGTGCAGTTTTCCAGGGAAGAAACACCCCCATAGTAGAGGCTTGGAGGTCAGGGAGGGACAATTTTTCTCTCCTGGAGTCTGGGCCCATATTTCACCTTTCTCAGGTGAAGCTGTGGATAACCCTCTAGGTGGTTTCTTCCCTTCACTGGGGGTGTGGAAATGCAGGCAGGCATTGGGCACTGCAGGTGTGCTCTGGGAGATGCGTTGTGTGCTCTGGGAGATGCGTTGTGTGAACAGACCTGAGTGCTCTCCTTCATCCTCTGGTGCCTGTGTGAGCATACAGCTCCCCTCTCTCCAGTGTGGTGGTAGGGCACATCATCTTAGAATTCAGGAAGGCTCAAATACAGCAGATGCAGGAGGGAAATGGAGGAGTGGGCGTGTTAACCTGACACTAGGGTTGGCTAGAGCCCATGTAATGTCCTGGGGCTGTTCCTGGGATTCTCTTCTGGAATGTGCAACTCCCCCCGAGTATTTTCAGTTCGTGGCTGAGGCCTGCACTTTCCCGTGCTGACTGCACAACCTTGCCCAGAAATAAACGGTTGTTTCTAGTTTGTAATGTTGCTATCTATAGAGCCTTCAACTCTAGCATTAAAATATTAAAATCAGTATTATCTTTCAGTTCACATAGCTGTCTCAGAGAAAGGACCCTAACACTCCCTCAGACAGACCTTTAAATGAAAACAGTCTGCACTCTTTTCTCCAAGAACCTTCTTGTACTTTATGGTGTTTATGTTAACTTCAAGAGGATTTTCTGTTTTTTTCATCAGGAGACTGTCAATGAAATTCACTCAGAACTTCATCCTACTGGTGGAGCTGCTAAATTGAATAGGTATTGAATTTTTATTATTTGGTAGTGAAAAAGGATTTTTACTATTTGGCATTTTACCCTGAGAGTAAGGGAAAAAACATATACATGCACAGATTGTCACTGTTACTTCTCAATTACAGAGCATTTCTATTTGGCCATTTGCAGTAATTAGTGTTCAAATACTCCAAATGTAAAATTTATTTTTTATAAAAGATTCTTTCTACTGCTGTTTTGAGAATTAGTTTTGAAGGAACTTCTGTATAGATTTTGTTCTGAAGTGCTCTTTGATTTTGGCAGTTACAGAAGCAAGAGCTGCAGTGCAGGACCCATGGAGATGTCTAATGATTGACAGTTAATCTAGAAGGGCAGTAACTGTTTGAGCCTGACTTCCCAGCATTTTCTTTGGAAGACAGGTATTTAAATAAAGACACTGATATACAAACAAGCTATCAAAGGACAAGTTACCACATGTTAGCTTCTCTTTGGTAACTATCTTTGTGTGCTTTTCATTACCAGGCACTCTTCAAGAGATGAAAAATATATTAATTTGCACCTTAACTGAGAAGTAAGTCACCTTCAATTAATTGGCTCACATTTGCCATGAGGTACATAGGCTGGACTGACTGGGGAAGTGAGGAGGAGAGTTAGGGTGGTTTCAGTGTACAGTTGAGCAGCACCTGCATCCTTCTGCCCTTTCTGTAGCTGCCTGTTCCCCTCTTAGTACCCTCACCACAGAGGGACTGGATCCAGACTTGGGTTACAAGCATTCTTACAGGCAGTCCCCAAAACCACAGCACTCAGCTGGCCTCTAAAAATCCCTACAAATTCCCAGTGTAAGTATGGGGCTGCCTGGACAAGCTCACGTGCCAGCATGGGGAAGAGGAGCTGTGCAGTGTGGCAGTGCTCTCCCTCCAGCTCCAGCAGCCTTTGCTCCACAGCTCTCTGAAGTCAGCCAGAGGAAATGGCTCCTTAATCCCTTTAAGCTAATGACCCGCTTACAAAGTCATTGTTTTTTTTATCAGTAAGCAGCCGGGTTTTCCGTCTGTGATCAGGTTCTGCCTCTCCTGGAGTCCTGGGGCTGCGAGTATCTGTCCCATTCCCAAGCTCCTGCTGACACCTGCTGGCTTCCCACTCTCACGAAACCGGGGTGCAAGGGGAGATTTGGGAGGGCAAAGTGGGCTAGCCCTGTTGCCCTCCTGCTGCTGCCACCTTTTAGTCTGTGCATTGTTGGTCATTGAACCTTTAGATGAGATTAATATCTTTGGAACAAATATTTATTGGGATAAAGCCTACATTACTTCATATGCATGGCATAAGAGTGCAGAACAACTCTCCTCAGCCCCTGGGAGTGCCATTAAGTATAACTCTTAGGTGCTTCAGCATGCTTTTTAGGCTCTTCATAAAGTGCGGCAGACCATGCTGGTGAGGATGGAACAGAGATCCATACTCTCAACATCAGCTGGGGCCTGGCCCACTGCACATCACTGCACACTGAGGCATCCCTCAGCCTACCCAGAGATGAAAGAGCTTCAACAGAGCAGAGCTGTACAATTTAAACTGGTTCATCGTTTGTTTCAAAGTTAAACAGTTAGTAGTGTTGGCAATTTAGTGTCATTTATGGCAGGTAATTGTGAAGCATTAATTGTCAGATTCACCTCAAAGTTTCTGACTTTACAGAGGCACTCAGGGGGGTCAGACTTGATAAAATTCAGTATTTGTTTTCTAGCAAGCCTGAGTTATGCAAAGGTGCAATTCTCTGTTTCCTTTCCTGAAACAGACTAATTTATTTAGTGAGTGCTAAAACAAACATGAAATGCAGATAACTTTACACTTCTCTAAATGACAGTACAGGCAAGGTAGTAGGAGATAAGGTCCAAAAGACTGAGCATAGCGTTATGTGTCCTTATGTGCATGTGAGCATCCCATAATCTGAATTGAAACAAGAATGTTTCTTTTTTCCTTTTATGTGGCAGTTTCAAACCTCAAAAACTGTGACAGGCAGTACAGAGGAGTCACTGGTACGTGCTGGAATTAGACAAATGGAGTATTAGTGAAACAATGCTGCTCCTCACATACCATGCTGTGCTCTGTGAGATGGTTTTCTGGGAGTGAACAATGATTACAGCAGCATGGCTTGTCCCTAATCTGGTTATACTTGTTTTCTGGCAGCACCTGCAGTGTCAGGGTGAAAGGGAAATGCTTTTCAGTATGCTGAGGAATAGCTGAACATCAGGAAAGAAGAGCTGCCATCTTGTGTGGGGAACTGAGACTGCACTAAACGAGGTTAAGTTGAGACATTTAAAAAATTACTACACCTTTGGAAACTCCTTCAGTAAAGATTATTTCCTTTTCAGTGACTAGTTCCATACTTGCTTTTCGTTTGGTTTTAACTAATACAAATGAGGCACTTTGTCCATAAGCTTTGTTTTTCTGACTTCAGCAGTACTGCAAACTCATTGAGAGGATGCTGAGGCAGTGGGAGCATTCTTTGTCAGGTAGCAGAGCTGTCTGGCCATGGAGGAGGAGATCTTGTGGTGAGGAACACCAGTCGTGCACACAGAAAATACCTTTGTGTAATTTTGTATTCAAAATATGCCAACCACAAACAAGTTTATGGTGTGTTACAGGGTGTTGGTGAATTGGATGGTAGCAGGCATCTTTCCTAAAAGAAAGATGATTGAATACAGGAGCTATAGTAGCAGGTTATGAGTAGACCCAAATGGACAAGATTGTACACAATACCCTCACCTGCTCTCCCTGACTGCCCAGGCTAAGGAATATGGGAGTCCTGCTATGAGAAGCATAGAACTGTCCATTATTTTGTCCTCCACAAAGTTATTGATCCTGAGCTCACCAGCAATGGCTGCATTTCCTGCCTCTGTCTGTGGAGGGAGATGTACAATAACAACTAAAGAGGTTATCCCACATCTGCTGTTGAGAACTTGCTACATCCATACATATCTCGGATGAGAAATGATCATCAGCATTGCATTGATGAGTAAAGGGGTATTCTCCTTTTGTTTAGCAAAAGATCTTTCCCTACTACATTTCACAGGAATGATGTTGGAGTTTTCTCCAGCCACTGAGGCAGCAGCAGAAGTACAGCAGCATCCTTACTTCAGCTTTTGCCTTTTGTGACAAAACTGAGTGTATGTAACACCTAGGCAGAAGAAAACAGCTCCTCATTGGTGCATAACGGTATGGTAATGGAGTCTCTGACTATGGAGAGACAGAGGATGGTACGACAACTAAAAAAGTTGGATTCTTAACCCTTCTGGGTTAAGATTTCTATCTGGATAAAAATAAGGGAGAGTGTATGCCACCATATGTATTTTTTTTTCCCAGACAGATTACGTCACCTTGCAAAGCAAAATAACACCTTAGCCAGAGCACAGAGCATGTCTTCATTTTGGAAAGGTGAACTTTGTGTGTGATGTACTGCTGTGAAAAAAATCTTTTGGTATTTGAGTGTAAGCTGACTGGTTTTATCATGACACCAAGGAAGCCCGGAATTCTGAGGTGACAATCCTGCAGCTGCTAACCAGGAGACAGATCGAAAGCACATGTCCTCACCTACTTCTTCTTCTTAAGCACCCAAAGGATACTGAAAGGTTTAGATTGTTCTGTCAAGCTTACTTTCCTCTAAATATCATTGCCAGGGTTAATGCCAGAACTGCTATAAAGTTCCCAAAGTCATACCCTTTGTTGGACATAATTGCCTCTGGTGTTGCTTTCCAACTGTGTCATTGACAAACATGCTATTTTTTGTGACAAAAGCTTTAACAAAACTTCTTTCAAAATGAAGCTTTGCAGGGCTGCGCTGTAGCTCCTTGTCTTATCCCAGCCTGATACTTCATCTTGCAACACTACCCGTAGCTGTTTTCAGTCTTTCATAATTTTTGTATTTTTTTCTGATTTTTACTGTTTACTTATTAAAGTCTCATGCAATAGTCTATCATACTCACTGAAGTCCAGCTAAATCATATTGCCAAGAAAATCAGCAAAGAAAGACATAGGCTCATTTTGGAACAGTCTGCCCTTGATGAGCTCATATGTTAACCCTTTTAATGGGCACCTCTATTTCCTTCAATATTCAGTCTATCAAAGGTTTTTTTGGGGATAAGAGAACAGATTCAGACACAAATGTGGGGGACTAAGATCTATAGTTGTGTGTGCTGTTTTCTCTCTTTTAAACATACATAATAGAATTGATCTTCTGTACTGTTATTAGATAAGTATATATATATATATCTGTCAGGTGAAGTTCCTGACAATTGGAAAAAGAGAAATATAACCCCCATTTTCAAGAAGGGGAAAATGGATGACCCGGGGAATTACAGACCAGTCAGTCTCACCTCTGTGCCAGGCAAAATCTTGGAGCAGATTCTCCTGGAAGGCATGCTAAGGCACATGAAAATCAACAAGGTGCTTGGTGACAGCCAGCATGGCTTCACTAAGGGGAAATCCTGCCTGACTAATTTGGTGGTCTTCTATGATGGGGCTACAGAACTGATGGACAGGAGCAGTTGATGTCATCTACCTGGACTTGTGCAAAGCATTCGACACTGTCCCACACGACATCCTTGTCTCTAAATTGGAGAGACATCAATTTGATGGATGGACCACTTGGTGGATAAAGAACTGGCTGGATGGCCGCACGCAAAGAGTTGTGGTCAATGGCTCAATGTCCAGCTGGAGACCAGTAATGAGTGGCGTCCCTCAGGGATAGGTGTTGGGACCGGTCTTGCTCACCATCTTTGTCACTGACATGGACAGTGGGATTGAGTGCACCCTCAGGGAGTTTGCCGATGACACCAAGCTGTGTGGTTCGGTTGATACGCTGGAGGGAAGGAATGCCATCCAGAGGGACCTCGACACGCTTGTGAGGTGGGCTGATGCCAACCTCATGAAGTTTAACCATACCAAGTGCAAAGTCCTACACCTGGGTCAGAGCAATCCCAAGCACAGCTACAGGTTGGGCAGAGATGAGATTCAGAGCAGCCCTGCGGAGAAGGACTTGGGGGTGTTGGTCGATGAGAAAATGAACATGAGCAGGCAGTGTGCACTCGCAGCCCAGAAAGCCAACTGTATCCTGGGCTGCATCAAAAGGAGCATGACCAGCAGGTCGAAGGAGGTGATCCTGCCCCTCTACTCTCGTGAGATCTCACCTGGAGTATTGTGTTCAGTTCTGGTGTCCTCAACATAAAAAGGACATAGAACTGTTGGAACAAGTCCAGAGAAGGGCCACAAGGATGATCAGGAGACTGGAGCACCTCCTGTATGAAGACAGGCTGAGAAAGTTGGGGCTGTTCAGCCTGGAGAAGAGAAGGCTGCGTGGAGACCTCATAGCAGCTTTGAAGTATCTGAAGGGAGTGTCATATGCTGGGCATGGACTCTTCATTAGGGACTGTAGTGATAGGACAAAGGATAATGGGTTAAAACTTAAACAGGGGAAGTTTAGATTGGATATAAGGAGGAAGAAGTTCTTTCCTGTAAGGGTGGTGAGGCACTGGAATGGTTTGCCCAGGGAAGTTGTGAATGCTCCATCTCTGGCAGTGTTCAAGGCCAGGTTGGACAGAGCCTTGGGTGATATGGTTTAGTGGTAGGTGTCCCTGTCCATGGCAGGGGGATTGGAACTAGACGATCTTAAGGTCCTTTCTAACCCTAACTATTCTATGATTCTGTATTAAAAATACTCACTAGGCTGTGATTCTGTATTCCCATTCCTTCAGTGTTCCATGACTGAAGTTTATGTCTCAATTTACTAATTTGAGCATAAGGGCCATATTACCTGAGTGTGAGCATTGAAGAAGTATTTCAGGCTATAGCTAAAAAGTAGTATCTACTGTATCATCAGGAAATTTTCATTACTGTGCGCAGTCTGACCTGTTCTTAAATTGTAGAGAAACTCTCAGCACAAAGGCAAATACAAATCTGAATTACATCTACGCAATACCCCATTTGCTAGTATACAAACGCTTATACGCATGAATCAAGGAACACTGTAGTTGTAATCCTAACCGCATAGCAGAGGCACCCACACTTTTAAATGTAAAGTATGCATAATCAAGTTTCAGCTATTTAAATTCACTTCTAGAGGCAGATGTAGCCAGTCTATTTTAGTTTATGAAAGGCCATTAATCAGTCAAGATAATTTCACTTGCAGGTTTTGAAGAAGGAAATTTACCTTGACTCATCTCAATGTTTGGGTCTTTTTGTGAAGTTCCCTCCATGGATCTGAGAAGTTTAGACAGGAGGAGCAATCTAGTTATTACTCTATTCTGAACTTCAAGTTTCTGTAGCCTGACAAGTTTTCAACTGCCTTGCTCTCATACGTGCTATTTGGAAAACAGAAGATATGACAAAAAACCCACCAAGTTTGCTGTACTGCAAAAACAATTGTGAACAGAAATACAAATAAACAGAAAATCTTTTCAAAACATGACTGACTACAAATTATTATACAATAGTTGAAGGAGCAAATATTAAAATAAACAATGAGAGAAGGTATCTAGCAGAATTATATAGCAACATCTAACAGACTGCTGATACAGTGACAATATCTGGGGTTGTAGTTTTTTTGCCAAATCTTTTAAACAGGTGATGATTTCACAGTTTCTATCCTTCCCTTGCAATTTCTATTTTTCTCCAGAACTAAGCCTTGAATGTGCTTTAAAAAGCGCTTTATTTAACAAAGTTAGTTCAGAAAAGTGGTGGGTAGCTCATCAGGACAATTTTACCACTGTTAAAAATCAAGCAAGCTCCTGATCATAGAGGAACAACAGCTTTTGGAGTTTACTTCCCTGAGATAAATCTGTGTATCCATATCAAATAGTGACTTAGGAGTTCTTGTACTGATCTGTTAGGAAGATGAATCCTTCATACTCAATCCAGTTTAATTATCTCCTTGGTATTCTAGGTTCTGCACGAGCAATTTAATACAGTAACATTATGCCATCTCATAGTATTACCTCAGGCAATTTTGCAAGGAATTCATTAAGAATGAGTCTTATATTAACAATCAGAGAAGTTCCCTTGTGGTGAGCTTGGAATTCTGCCTTCAGTATATGTTTAAGATGAGTTATATGGGCTTTTCAGCATTTAAGATATGCTTGACCAGCTCAGTTAGTAGATAGTACCTCCAAGTACTCTCTTCTTTTGCTCCCTGATGTGCTGTACAAGGGTGGAGCAAATTGCTGTGTGATTCCTTGCACCAAGGAATCATAAACATGCACGGGGCATTTTTGGTACAGGCAGTGACGTTGAATCACGAAGTTGATGCCAAGTTAAAATGGAAAGATGAAACATCCTTGTATTTCTATTTGTTTAAATTCTGGTTGTATACACACTGTTTAGACTGACATTTTGTGGGGATGTCTGGAAAGGCTTATCACACTTTCTTCAAAACAATTAAGGCTACCTTTGTGAGCTCCTAACATTTCTGTGGCATAAATCAAGATTATTTGTTCCTAACCCAGATCATATTATCTAACTCCTACCAAGCCTGGGATTTGGATGCATGTCTCTGTTTGGCAGCAAAATGTTCTACAGAGCTGGCTCTTTGTAAGCATAGTTTTGAAAATGTAAATGCAGTGGACCATGTTTCCCATGGAATTAAAATAATGTGCAATCCTAATGTATTGCATTAAGTGATTAAACAAATAAATTCTTCCTTATGTATTCAAATTGCCATCCGTCAGCTCTTTGAAGACTAAATCTATGGAACCCTTCTTGATAGCTGGAGAAAAATCTTTCATTAATTATTACACAGTGTTATTACTGCCTGTACACTGCTGGCTGCAAAAATAATTCTTTGTGTTTCTTTGTTGTAACTCACTGTTTTTATCTTGGCA